CATTCTCTTCCTGGACTGGCACATTTTTAGCTTCTGTACCTCAACCACCTTCTTCTGCCCATAACACATTTGGTGTGAGCCAGAGTTGTCAGCTGATGTGCATCAAATGTTCCGTGACCTGGCTGGTGTGTTGCACTAAAACTTAAAATTTAAGTGTTATTTTATAACTCCTTCTAAACTAAGATAAACATATGCTGAGCCTGTAATGAAACAGATGTTCTTTCATTAACCAAATAGCCATTTACACAATTTTAAATTGTTCAGATGCTGTAATAGCTCAGGGCAAAACTTTAAGATTCTGGTTTTAACAAAGCCTTGTGTCTTTTGCTGGAAAGCCCATGTCTTTATCCCTCTACTCTGGTTTCCTGATGACTCACTGTCTAATTAACTTGATGTTGATGTAGAGTAATGTGCACATGTGGAAGTACAGCTCATGTCTAGAATATATTCAAACGGATGTTTCATTAGTGAGCTCAAGCGGTTTTGGCCCTGTCTACTGCACACACGCTGGTTAAAATAACTTCTATTTTTTTTTATAGTCAGTGATTTAAAGCTGAATCTCATGTCAACCTCCTCATCATGTTTGCTAAATTGTTCCACTGTTGGTGATATTATTAATGGTGTATGACAGAGGTTATAGTGCTGTAATATGTTAGACATGAGTTCTACATTGAATTGCCTTCACAATTTACCAGCTGTTCCTCACTCTTTCTTCTTTAATGAGCCTGTTTGCTGGACTGATGCAATCCAAGATATAACACAACACACTGAACTGACAAAGCAGAGTTCCAGCTACAGAAACCTTTTTTTGCTTGTGTTAAAATTTGTTTTTTGGCCATTGAGTTTCCATTGTTTGACATAATCTTGTGTAATGTTACTTCTGTCATCAGCCCAAATCACCCTTGTTCAATGAGAAAGACTTTATTGACAAAAACACATGTTAAAACATATCAGCAGAGTCATATGTCCAAGTTCAAGCAGACTCTTTCTTTCTCCTTAAATAAAACCCTAGTCAGTCCCATGAATTATCAAGCCTCACGGTTACCACCACACAGGCCAGACCACAGGAAACATTTAAATTTCTTGGCTTTCTAGATGTCCCTCCATTACATTTCTCTGCCCACATACACAAGCCAGACACACACAAAGATATGATGAGGAGAGTAATGTAATTCTAACTATATTGCATCATCTTAGGCAAAAAATATATATACATATACATACTGTGTGCATATGTATACATATATACACACATATATATATGAAACCCCAGCGAGAGGGGTTACATACGGAGGATGTGGGACCTATTGGAATTGCAGAAAGACGTGATGAAGAATGGGGTACCTAAAAAGTACAACACACTGTCCATACCTGAGGCCTTAGACACTGCCAAGCAAAGGCTCATAGCTCTGGCGACCCGGTCGAAGAGGTACCCCAGAGAAGTTGAAGCCAGGAGAGTAAACCGAATGTTCTCCACTGAGCCATCCGAGGTGCACTCTCAGTGGCAAGGTAATAACATGAGAGCAGACCCACCAAGGCTGGAGACTGAACAATTCTGGAAGAGCATATGGGACAAGAAGGCATCACATAACAACAGTGCCCAGTGGCTGGTGGACCTGAGAGCAGACCACAGCAACCTCCCTGAGCAAGACCCAGTAATCATCACAATGGCAGACATTCAAGAGAGGGTCTCAAGTATGAAGAGCTGGACAGCACCAGGCCCTGACATGATCCACGCCTACTGGTTAAAGGAGCTAACTTAATGGCAGACATTCAAGAGAGGGTCTCAAGTAAGAAGAGCTGGACAGCACCAGGCCCTGACATGATCCATGCCTACTGGTTAAAGAAGCTAACTTCACTCCATGAGCACCTGGTAGGTCAAATGAACCAGCTACTAATGGATGGAGCCCACCCTGAGTGGTTAACGGAAGGCCGGACAGTCCTGATCCTGAAGGACCCTCAGAGGGGAGCAGTACCATTCAACTACTGCCCAATAACCTGCCTCTGCACAACATGGAAGCTCCCATCAGGCATCATAGCAGGTAAGGTGAGCAGGCACATGGCTCAATATATGAGCAGGGCCCAGAAAGGAATTGGTAGTAACACCAGAGGAGCAAAGCACCAGCTACTGGTTGATAAAGTAGTCACTCGAGACTGCAAGACCAGACATACCAACCTGTACCAGGTTTGAAACTACCTAAGAGCCTTTATCAAGAACTCAATGGGAATGTGGAAAACAACCCTAGAGGCCAACTTCAAGCCAATAGCACACGTCAACATCAAGTGCGGTATCTACCAAGGACATGCTCTGTCCCCGCTGCTGTTCTGCATAGGGCTGAGCCCCCTCGGCCAGGTCATCACTGAGAGTAGTTACGGATACCGACTACGGAATGGAGCAACCATCAGCCACCTCCTCTACATGGATAACATCAAGCTGCATGCCAGGAGTGAACGAGACATTGACTCACTGATCCATACCACTAGGATCTAAAGCCAGGACATTGGAATGTCATTCGGACTGGATAAGTATTGTCAAATGGTAACAAGGAGATAAAAGGTAGTCAGAACTGAGGGGACTGTACTACTTGAAGGTAACATAGCAGATGTTGAGGGAAGCTACAAGTACCTTGGGATCCCACAGGCAAATGGGAACCATGAAGAGGCCACAAGGAAAGCAGCAACCACCAAGTACCGGCAGAGAGTAAGGCAAGTCCTGAGAAGTCAGCTGAATGGAAAGAACAAAGTCTGGGCAATTAACACCTACGCCTTGCTGGTCATCAGGTACCCCGCTGGCATAATAAGCTGGCATATGGAGGAGATAGAGGCCACTGACATCAAGACTGAAAGACAGCACAGAGGCACTAATCATGGCAGCACAAGAACAAGCTCTAAGTACAAGATCAATAGAGACAGGGGTCTACCATACCAGACAGGATCCCAGATGCAGGCTGTGCAAAGATGCCCCTGAGACAATCCAGCACATAACAGACATAACAGCAATGCTAGAAGGCAGGGCATACATGGAACGCCATAACCGAGTGGCTGGTATAGTGTACATAAACATCTGTGCCAAGTACAGGCTGGAAGTCCCAAAGGATACACCTCCAAAGGTGGTTGAGAATGACCAAGCAAAGATCCTGTGGGACTTCAAGATACAAACTGACAAACTGGTAATGGCCAACCAACTGGACATAGTAGTGTTGGACAAACAGAAGAAGAGGGCTGTAGTGATAGATGTAGCAATCCCAAGCAATAAGAACATGGGAAGCTCAAGAAATACCAAGGGCTGAAAGAAGAGCTAGAAAAGATGTGGAAGGTGAAGGCACAAGTGGTCCTCGTGGTAATAGGAACATTGGGGGCTGTGACCCCCAAACTGGGAGCATGGCTCCAACAGATCCCAGGAACAACATCTGAGATCTCTGTCCAGAAGAGTGCAGTCCTAGGAACAGCTAAGATACTGCACAGGACCCTCAAGCTCCCAGGCCTCTGGTAGAGGATCCGAGCTTGAAGGAAGGAATAAGAGCGCTCCAAAGTGGGGCGAGTGGGGAATTATATATACTGTATATGCACAAATGTTTTGACTTTTAATGTGCAGATTTACAACATAAGCAGTAATTAGACTATTTTATATGAATGTTTTGAAATTGTTTGTTTTGACCTTGACAAAATGCCTGCAACTAGACACAGCAGGACTGCAGAGCTTTGGATCTCTCCACATGCAAAAGTGATGTGCATGGAGCTGTAATAAATACAAGTATTTATGCAAAAGTAAAGCCAAAACATTGTGAATGCCATCTTGGCAGTCTGCGCAGTAGCGATGAGAAGTGGAGTAACAGTGGAGTGAGCACCAGTCAGATCTTTCGAAACACACCCCTTTTTATATCATCAAATAACTTATGAAAAACAAACTCAAAAGAAACAACCAACTGCAAACAAATCAGCATGGTAATATCTACCAAAAAAACAACAACAAAAAAAACACAGAAATAACCTTTAGGGAAAAATGTATTTAAGCTGTTCTTTGAGTTTTTAGTTTAGCCCATCCACTAACATGGAGTGAGTGCCTCCAGGGGGCAATCATCTCACGGTGACTTCACTTCTGGGGAGTTGTTACCTCATCCATTTTTATATGCAGTCTATGATCCTGTACCATAAACTGCAATTGTTTAGCACGTCCAGCTACTACTGGGCGTTATGTAGTAAGCCAATTAGCTGGGCATGATACCAATTAACTATTACTTTTTTTTCTTCCCACTGTAAAGCCAACCCTGGATATGGTGGTCTTTGGCTGATGCTGTTTAGGTTTACACTCACAGCAACATCACCATTACCTAAGATAGTGTTACCTTCACCAAACATATTAAGTTACATGCAGGCTGTTCTTTTTTTGTTGATAGGCTACTCCTTTTCTACTTTTATGGGGCATTTTTATCATTAATTGACAGCAGTAATATAGATATTGATAGAAATTCCAGGGAGAGAGAGAGAAGTGTGACATAGCGAAGAGCTTTACACTACAACACAAGATCAGTGTTTAATTTAGCATAACATGTCATCTATGTGTTTTATCAACTGGTGAGGATACTTAGATGCAAACATTAAGAAGACAGCTGAATTTTCAATTAACTGTTGGAGCTAGGCTAATGTTAGCTGAATTAACTAGTTAGTTACAACTGATAAAATATTCTAACGGTTGTCATTTCAGCCGACAAAGTCAACAGTCACCAGCTACAAATGAGAAGGCTGTTTTTGTGTTAAATCAAGCATTATTTCAAGACTTAAGAATTTTGAATGGTAAACATGTCATCATTAAGGCATCTCTGTAAACTGCATCTGTGCTGTATGAGAAAGGAAAGCTTGGCAGGCATGCGGTGTGGCCTAGCAAGCAGTTGATTGTGATTGTGGTGTGGATGAGTGTGCTTTACTTTTTCATTGTTTATAACTCTGTTATAAATAGCGTTGAAGTCAGTCTCTTTGTCTTTCTGCTTTATTTCTTCCAGGTCAGCCTACCAAGTGACTCCAGCTGTGTGGAAGAGATTTTGCGGGTATGTTGCTTGGGTACACTCACACACAAACATACACATCCTTGTTTTCATAACTTACTAGGTCCCTATGGACTTACAGTATATTCATTTCTGGGAGACTTGCCCTAACCTTACCCAGAATTGCTACTTGCCTAACCTTAACCCTTACCCTAATACTTAACCAAAGCCTACACTTGCTCTAACTTTACACCGTGTTGTTTTTGTAAAATTCAATAAACTGCACTGTGGGGACCTGCCTCCTGTCCGAACAGGCGAAACTGGTCCCTGTAAAACTAGTGCACTCCCAGTTTTTGGTCCCCAAAAGTATAGAAAAACGAGGCCGCACACGCAAAGTAATTGCACTGATTATCAGATGTTTTCTGTTTGTCACAAAGACCTTTGTCTCATTCCCAAGAGTCTGATTTTAGGAACAAAGGGCGGGGGGGAGAGAAAGAAAGTGAATAAAAGGCAGAGGGAGAGAAAGAATTTTCTTGGCTGAGGCCAATGATTATACAAGTTTTTGTTTTTGTAGGATGACTTCATGCAGAAATCTTTTCCATAATTTCCCCCTCTCCTTCATCATCCTTTTTGTCTTTATTTCTCTCTATCCCATTGTTTTTCTATGTGTGGCTCATTAAAATCACAGAAAGCAACATTTTTTGCACACTTTCCCATCTTTCCTCTCTTCTCTTTTTGTTTTGTTGCTGTGTTCCTTCAGAGCAGTGTCAAAACAGAAATGTTTTCCCAACAATCTAAACAGTTCAGAAGATTTGCAGCTATAAAGACAAGTACCTTCCTTGAGTGCTTTATGTCAAATTACCTTGTTCTTTCCTCACTCTCTCTGTCTTCCTCTGCGCATTTGTCTCTATTCTCTCCTTTGTTGTATCACTGACTGTGCTATCGCTTTCTTTCTATGTCTGTCTTCCTCTCTTCATCCCTCTTTGCCCTCCGTCATTCACCTCTCTCTCCTTTTCACAAATCAATATGCTGGCCAACAGGCTGTGTGACAGATAGTGTGCTGCGAGCTGCATGAAAAGCTTTTGTCAATAATATTGGTGCACTATTGAATTCAGTCTGTGGTTTTTAGCCGTGTCAAGTGGAAAGATCACAGAGTTTAAAGTGTGAGGTGAGGTGAATCGGAGCGGAGGCCTGCGGTTCATTTTTTCCTTTCTGTGACTTCACAACTACAAGTTAGCTGTCACAGAAGCATTGTTGTTTCGGATGTTTTCACATTTCAAGGTAACAGTGTGTTTCAGAGATACAGTGTGCAAAAAGAAATCTGCTCAAACTGACTGTGAACCTAATAAATTATATGATATAAGCAGTAGTGGAAGAAGTACTCAGGTTCTTTTTTAAGTAAAACTAACAATACCACAGTGTAAAAATACTCTGTTAGTAAGTGCTTCATTCATAAATTCATAAAATGAAGTTGAAGTATGAAAATAAAGTACAGATACCTCATAATTGTATTTACAGTACAGTACTTTAGTAAATGTACTTAGTTACTTTCCACCGTGGTATATAAGGTTATATTAACTTTTGGAACATTCGTTAGTACTGTAGCATGTGGTATTGTAAATATAACCAAGTAGCATTATCTGAACTATAAAGAGGATGATCTTCCTTTTCTTCTTCTATACTTTATTTAATGTTTTTCTAAGACACCACAAAGTGTATTATTTAATTTGATCCATGATTTTTTTTAAAAGAGAAAATAAATACCAGCTGTATCTGAAGTGTCACTTCACACAAATGAGCAGTGTGTCACCATTTAGATAGTTCTGGCTTACAAGATTTAGGGAGATCAGTTTTTACATTTTTGTTATCACTACATTACAGTGGCAGTGAATGCAATTTCACACAACACAGCACACACTTGCAGTGACAAATCCATAGACCTCATTGTGGAGTTTTCACTGAAACTACTTCCTAGCAGAGAAATAGTCTATTAAACCTACTACTGTGAGGACTGTGGATTACACGGAGTGACCAGGATAGTTCATGGAAAAAGATGTTGCTGCTTCTCAATGCTGTGGCCCCACAAACAAAATTCCATTACCTCCCATGTACAGTATATTGGGATAGAAGCAAAAATGTCAGGGTCCAGTATCTCAAAACCTGGACAGATAAAACTGGAACTGTGAAGTGAGAAAATATTTTTGTTTGTTTTGGGGTGAAGTGACCCTTTAATTTATTTGTGGTCAGTTAAATTCAATTAGGTTTGTTGTTATGATTTCCTAGAATTTGATATAATTTGCAGTGATTTTGAGATCCAGTCTTACATACGCATGTTTTATTATGCTCATTTATGGTCATTGTGGTAACAAATAACTCCTTTTGATTACAGCCTGCATTATTTTACTACATGTATTTCTTCTTTCTTTCTTCACAGACCTTGTTGTAGAATATTAACAAGAAAATGTATTTTGCAATGACAAAGTTACAAATGAAAAATGTCATATAAATATGAATTTTAGATCTGTTGTCAATTAGATAGATAGATAGATAGATAGATATCCTTCTGTCCTTAATACAGTAGACAACCCTGATTATGAGAATGATCCCCTATAACTGGAAAATCACAGTGACATGTGGACATGTGGGCTCATGCTAATGTGACAGACTGAGTTAATCCCATACAATGGCAGTAGTGGCACATTTATAGACACATGCAGACACACACATTCAAAGCCGTGCACAGATGCACACACACACACCATCAGGAGTACCGTCTGTCAAAACACAGGAACTCTTCGAGGAGGGATGTGATGATGTCAGAGAAGAGTTGCTTAGCAGCACACCGTATGTCGTCAGGCCAAATGCGACTGCAGGGAGGGCAAACACACACGCACACACGCATAGATTAGACTCATAGTCAGGAATCTTCAACAGTGTTGAGCTACACATCTCCATTATACACACTCCCATACCCTGACACACAAAAACATGAGTCATTTGATGACTCTGAGTCATACACTCCAGATGGGGGCAGGGATGCATCATGGGAAATTGTGATGTCAATGACCTTTCAACCCCTTTGACCGAGTTACCTGCTGTGTGGCAGTTAGTTTACACAGAATTTAACTTTAAGACAATGGCAGTGATCAAGAGTGTCAGCATGTGAGGCAGAGAGAGAGTGAAAGACAGAAACTGATAATGTGCTGACAGAGTACCTGGTAATTTTTCACATAAGCTGATTTTCTCATATATATAGACTTTTTACTTTGTGAGAAAGAGAAACTGTCAGTACTTAATAGCTGTGGAACACACACATAATGACACATATATGCTTATCTTGTTAACTAATTAAAGTGTGTACATACTGAGAGTTAAATTCAACTGAGAAGGATTTGTGATTAGCGTAATGGAAAAGAGATGCTGCTGCTGTTCTGCTGTTTAGTTGTAATGGACCCTACTGGAGTCAGCTTTTATTTTGGTAATTCACCAATGCTGCACTTTGTTCACTCTTAGTACACTGATCCCTGGTGTGTCACCAATTCCCTGTGCACCTCTTAGTTTATACTACTGTATAAATTATGTCCAGTCCAGTCTGATGGGACCAGTTCAGCACAACCTTGACTGAACGCTGACACCACTCCTCTGCATCAAAGATAAACAGTCTTTTATTTGCTCAGCTTAGGCCATCATTGTCATTTGCCTAGTACAATCCACATAAGGGTAAACATACTGTACATTTATTAAGAGTTACATGCTTTTCTTAGTTTGAGTTATAATGCCAGAAATTCTGAATAATCATGAGTTATTTTTATTAATGTAATGAAAATGTTGTGTGTATGTGTATTCAGGAAATGACCCATTCCTGGCCTCCTCCTCTCACAGCCATACACACTCCTGTGAAGGCTGATCAGACCAAGTTCCCCATCCCAAGCAAGGTTAGTATGAGCCACTCCAAACACATTTAATTTACCAAAGTAAAAGCTTATGATCTTACATTAAGGCTTAGTAGTGCAAAAAATCTTTGTGGTCACCTGGTAATGTGTGCTTTCTTAAAGGTCATCATCTTGCTCTCTACTTGAGCTCTGACTACATCCTTTTTCCTTTATTTGTGCATGAGTCAGTGAGTGGTGGAAAAAGATGAGAAACAGTTCACAAACCTTCAGTTAAACTCCCACACTTATTGTTGGCTCATCGTAAAACTAACTGGAGTCTATCGCTGAAAATCTTCATCTGCTAATTAGGTCTGATTCATAAATTCAGTGCTGTAGTCATTGCTGTGATAGAGTCAGTTTACTGTTACCTCATTCTGTGCAGCGGTGCAAGTGACAGCCAGTGAAATTACAATGTTAATTAACTATTGCATGTTTAATTCACCTCTTTACTGGCTATCCAGAGCTGTGTGGAGGTGGACACACTGTTGAAGAGAGCCAACCTCTTGTCTGCAGAATTATGCACAAGACTGTCAGTGTTTTAAAATAATAGTCCACAATATTTGCATATTAAATTTCTGATGCACCCTTTATATACAAGTTAAAAGTGTAATAATAATTAATAAACGATTTACTAATCCTTTATAGATCAATTGTAACTTACAACTGATCTATAAAGGATTAGTAAATCCATTATATTACAGGCTGAGCCTGTAATATAAACACATGGTTTTGACAGTGCACTTTTGTCGGCTGCCCCAAATGGTCCATCTATTAATGATGCATAAACATTAACATTCAATAATTTATAATAATGTAGAATTATTTTGTAGGAAAAAATATATCTTTTTATTATATTACAATTAACTTGTTACTGACTCTGACTGTAAGCTTGCTGCAGAGTAAGAAACCCACTTTGCATATTATTAATGACTTACTAACATTTCTAAGTGCATATTTCAAATGTCAGCCAGAGGTTTTTTTTCACAACCTGACAACCCAAAAGATTTTGTGGGTGTGTCTGTGGGGTCTTAAAAATATATATTTTTTAAAAGTTGTAAATCAGCTAAAAGGTTGTAAAAAGGTAGTAAATCAATTCAGAAAAAAATTAAGCAAAAATTCTTAAAAGTCTTAATCACCATTTTACGAGATATTACATTGTGTAGCTTTTTTCCATGTGACTAGCCTATTTGTCCAAAGAGCATGTATGCTAAAAGTTTGTGTGTTTATATTTTGTATCCATGTTGCTTGTGGAATCCTTCATTGACCTGCACCTTTTGGAATCCAGACTAAATTTAATGTCATCTGAAAAGGCCAAACATTTTGCGTACTCACGGAGCCGCTGACTGCTGTCAGTTTAACAACTCTACACGTTAAACTGACTTCACATAAACTAACAAATGTAATGGGGAAATGCAAGTTCCCAAGCAAGTGGCCGGAGGGCACTGAATTTGAACCATGGCTGAGGCCCATCACTGGGAAGGTGTATTGTTTGGTGTGTAAGAAAGCAATTGTATCCTCGGTGGGACTCAATGCTCTCCAGACCCATGGTGCATATGCACAAATCCTCTATGAGATGCAGACAGCAGTTGTCTGTCAAAACGTTCCCTGCTAAACCGGCTACACCAACTACAAAACTGCCACCGTTGAAGCCACTAGAAAGGCCACCTCTTCTTCTGCTGACCTCAGGGAAACGATGGGCGCCACACCGGCGCTGCCCACAGAAGTTCTCTGGTGTTTCAGCATGGTGATAAAAAGCACCACTCTCTCAATTCCAACAAAGGAATTTATATTATACCACTAAAGATGTGTTGGTGATGTAACTAGTTATAATTCAAAGTAGCTTTAAGAGCTTAAAATGCTGTGACGTCAGCTGGGTTAGAAGAAGGGTGAGGAGACCAGAGCTCTGTTCTCTTTTATTGTCAGCCAGGGAACACACAGCAATCACAGAACACACTGAGCACATGAACAATCCCGAACAATCCCAACAACCCAAAACCATATACAGCCCCCCCAGAGGACCATTATGGGGGATCCTGACAATTGCCTCTCCCAACATTGCATTATATTGAAAAGGTCTTGAAAAAGGTCTTAAAGGGTGCTGAATTTAACTTAATGATTCCTGCATGCACCCTGTTTATTAAACATGTATAAAACATTATATACAATTTAAAAACCTTTATAAGGCAGATTCACACCCTGAAGTGCTAGAACAAAATCCACTGGTGCGTCATCAATTTCACCGCAGTTGATACAGATTTACTTCACCCTTGCAAGCAAATCCACTGATCATGCTGTTTCCACTTGAATAAACTGTTTTTGCAATGAAGTGCTGTCATTGTAATTGCTGCTGCATTATAAAGAGTACCTTATTAGGCAGTTGTGCTAATTAGTTTGTTTGGCTTCTCTCAGTCGTCACTAACACAGTACCAGCCTACTCTGAGTTCATGAAAGATTTTTTTGTTTTGTTATTGTTGTTTCCTGAGAAAAATTCTGTGGCGTGCAACAAATGAGTTCCTCTTTATAAAAAAACAAACAAACAGAAAAATAAGTGGGTTTTGAGTATGAGCGGTGACAGCTATGGCTGAAAGAACGTCACTTAGAGAAAGCAGTCCTTTCAAGGAAATGACATTGTAGTACCACCCACACTGTTTGACAGGAGTTGTTTGAGAAGTGAAGTGCAGACATGACAACAGTGAGCAGTAAAAACTGGGGCACAGTTGAAGCAGGAACTAAAAAACAGATGTTGGAAAAGTTTCCCTTGCTCCTACAAAAATACTTAGTGAAACCCTCTAATATAAATAGTGGGGATATTTAAAACCAACATAAATGTTATATTCAACATTAATCCTATAAATATCTGTAAACAGCAGGTGGTATTTTTCCACTGCTTTTATAAATCATTCTTAATATTCAAAATATCTCATTGACAGTGATGTAAAAAAAAAAGAGCTGTATAAACACAGGCAGTAAATCTGACCTAGTAGTTAATGAATTAGAAACAAGTGCTGTGGCATTTTCGGGCCCCAGCGTCACAGTAATCCTTCCAGTGAGTTTTAAGAATGAGGTGGAGTGTGGACACGGGGAGATGAGAAGATCTGAATTCTGTGCGGTGGCATGGCTATACTGCTGTGAAATCAATAATGACATCTGTTGGTTTATTCATTCAACTCGTCTCCCTCTGGCTTTCTCTCTCCCTCTCTCTAGGAGGCACAGCACGCGACCTCAGGCTACAACAACCAGAGTAAGTTTCCCAGTGCCAACACTCACACAGAGGCTTTATGATAATTAACACCAAAGAGGGCATAAAGGCAATACCACTCAGAAGAAATGCAAGAAAAGCAGCTGATGTTCAAATGAATCCATAGCCGGGGGGATGGCAGTCTGAAAACCTTTGCTTTTATCGTTCTGTATGTATGTGAACACCTAACCACACAGGCTGGATTTAACACACACAGCTCAAGTGGCTTGAGTGATTGTTGAGTCTGCTATTTATTATTTAAAACAAAAGGATGCTCACCCAAGGACCATGAGTATTTCAACATGGATATGAAATACACCAGTTCGTACTTCCATTCATGGACAATACTGGGTTGAGTGGTGCTTGTGTTTGAACTGATAACAAGTTAGAAGTTGGAAATATGAATGAAGTTGTTTGTTACAGTATACATCAGTTTCCCACAGAATTGCATTTTAATTGTGGTGCTAGCTTCACACATTCACACATATATTTTTTAAAATAGTAATGTTCCAGTGCTCTTCCTCACCCTGTCTTGCTGCTTCATCAGCACTGGTTGAAACCAGTAAATATCCAAAACAACACCTGGACAGGTCTACACATGTTAATACCAAATGTAAATGTTTAGTCCTTCCATGGCAGAGAAATGGACAAGTTTTGCACCACAAACTATACTGTGTGTAAAATTTAAACTCTTCATTCCCAGTACACAGGACAATAAAACAGATCCATTCTCTTTTTATTTAACGAATCTCTCATTTATTTATGTGCAATAATATTTTAGAAGCCAAGACTAATCTTTCTTGTCCAACAATTAGAAAACTGTTTCACAGATTTGGTGGAGTTACCACCTCTTACAAATTAAGAGAATTCATCCAATTGATGCAAAAATATATAAATCCAACTGACCTGCCATTGATTTGCAACATTGCCCATAATGCTCTAAGTTCTGTGCATCCAGACTAAAGTTTTTAAACTAAACTTCAGTTTCTGTTTTACTGTAAAGGGACATTTGCTCTTCTCCAAACCCACATTACCAAAGCAAAGGAAAGAAAAACACACACACACACACACACACACACACACACCAACACACAACCACAGGCTAAATAGCACTAGAGAGGAGTGTCATGCTTTCCAGGGTGATAATAGTAATACACATCTATGGTGATTTGAGTTTGGCTCCTTGTCAAACACTAATCAACACAAACACTCCACCCAAGACACGTGCACAACAGTGATACTTATATGTCCTGTGTTGTGTTGCAGAGCGATGTACTGTGTCAGCCAACAAGCCTGCTGCTAAACCACCAACTGCACCACAGAAGTCGTGAGTATCTCTTTCTCCCTCTGACACACATGCACATATACACAAACAGAGAATGTCTGACCTTCTGCTTCTGCGTTTGCCTCAAGGTAAAATTAAGCTTGACTCTTGGATGAAATTCACTGCTGGTAGGAGGAAAAAAGATTGTGCGGATCAGAGCGGAAAAGTGCAGCTACATTAATTTAACGGGAGCCAGGAGCATATTGCAACATCTCTGACTGCAGCCCACTCCACTTCACTCACAGAGCTGTACAGCAGGATTCATGGCAGGGTGAAACTGGAAAGGCAGAAATCCTGGCTTGTAAATCTGCCTCACAACACTGATTTATCCTGTGCTACACCACAACAAGCTTAATGATTTGTTTTAGACATTGACAGTTTGCTAAACACCTCCCCCAAACAAAACTTGTCCAATCACAGCTTAGCAACTGTAACCACATCGGCCTTTAGTCTTTCCAAAATCAAAAACCCAAGAGGAAAAGTTTGGAATGCAATAATCGTTGTGTTTTTTCTGTTCACATCTAACTAGCGTGCTACCTCACTACATGTTCCAAGACTCAAACAGTGCCTTTGTAACAAACCTGGTAGCTGTATCTGTGTCACTTTTTCATCCAAATTCAACACTGATTGGCTGCACCCATGATTGTCAGTACAGCTGGGGTCAAAGTTCAACAAATATGAACTCTCTGAGAACCACAATGTACTACATAAACAATGACAAGGAAGACCAGACATCCCACCATGCAAAAACAAATTTCTGGGAAATCTTGAGAAGGATTACATTTAAAACCAAACTGGAGAAAATGTAACTAGTAAGTATTATCTAAATTCACTTCTAGACGCAGGTTACTTAAAACAGAACAAAACAAAACAAAAAAAAATTTTGCTTTCCACCAATTGCTTCGCTGCTACTTGTTTAATTTCCTTCTGCATTCATTGAGAAAGATTTTTGCTCCATCCACTGTCATATTATTCCTTATTACATGACATCTCCTGTGATATTACCTCTGAGAGTTTTCAAGTGCCAAGTATAATGAATTATTTATGTATTTGATGAAAGCTAATTATAAAAGAGGAGAAAATGTGGCAAGCGTGGTATAAAAAAAACTGACTTTTGGAAATAAAAAATGTGATGGGTAAAAGATGATGCAAAAGCCCTGCAAGTTAAGAAAAAGCAAGGCAGTCTTTAGATTGCAGTAACTCAGCTGGATGATTTGATTAAAGTCCAGGTCGGCATGCAAACTCTCATTTCCTCCTCTTTGGGTACATACAGTTAAACAGCTAATTACATCTCCATTAGTATGATGTCTGCTGGAGCTGTAGTGCTTTTTGTGGCTTATTGCTGTTATGGTTTAGTCCCCCTCCCCAGAAGGGTGAGGGAGAACTGGGGTTGGACTCAAGATGGCTGACCCAGGTGCCAGTACAAAAAAGAGGTTTAATGGAATGGAAACAAAATGAAAACATAACAGGGTCCATAATACATACAACCAGGGAAGGGCAGTGAGGACTAAGGAGACCAGGACGGTAAACACACAAACTAACGACAGGAACTAGGATAGCAGGAGGATGAGAACGGACAGGTGAACAAAAAAGAACCAACGTAAACAATGTAATCCACAGCACAGGGACTGTCAGCGTGGAAGACAAAGCACTTATTTCTGTATTGCTAACCGCATAATTAGCGTGATAAGGTCAAGCCAAAACGCACAGAGACTGTCAGCGTAGCATCTTACGCACGTCTAAAAATGCGGGTCAAACATAACATTTATCTTACTTTGGGTAAATATTGTCCATTACATGTCACAATACTCCAGCGACGACAGGGCGTCTGCCAGAGGTATAAATAAGGAAGCCAACAAATCACCGGAATACGCCTCAGGTGTGCGCACCGACCCACGAGTCACTAATTACCCGATGTGACACAGCTGAGGCGTTGATCCCGCAAAAAGGAAGAGCAGGAGAGGAAAAAAGAAAGAGAGGCAGGTCGCACCGAGCGGACCTGACAGCTATTGTTTGAAAACAATCCCTATTTCTCTGTAGGCATTAGGCTATTCTCTGTTTTTAGTGTGATGCTCAATGGCGTAAAATGCTCTGGATAACGAACAGGTCTACCTCTTCTTACTCAATGTGTTTGTTTTCTACAGAGCGAGTACTTGTGCATCCAAACTTCCCTGTTGCATAGTGCTGTGCAATTAGTCTTTAGCTAGTCATAGCTTTGATTTGAAGAACTTCTCAGATGAACTTCCACAAATAATAGAGCTTAACTGCCACTTTAAGAAAAACAAAGTCAAACATTTTATAAAGACAATAAGAACATCTGCACCTCGTAGTAATTTGATGCTGGGCTTTCTAAGTTCTGCATGTCATGCATGCTTTAGTCCATAACTCATTTATATCTGACTGCATCTGTTCTCAGATGCTTTTTCTCTCTCTTGCATGTTATTCCTGTCTCTCGCTCTCCTGCTACCTTCTCTTCCCCATCATTATCATCTCCATCTGACTCACTATCTCCCTCTCTCCATCTGTCCCCTTCTTCAGAACTAAAATATGAATCCATTATTCATTAATTCAAACATATCTATCATCACCGATTGCTGCACTGTGCCCCTTATCTGCAAAGCTTTTTCTTATTGTGCTTCAGTTATTCACGACTTGTACGGTCCCATCTGAAAACAGCACAACACCGGGGAGTGTTTTTTAGCAGTGCAAGCACTGACAAGAGTGGTTCGTGAGGCAGTAAAAATCCCTTTAGGGGATTCTCCTGTCATAACAATAGTGGTGCCAGCTTAAAATAACGGTTGTTTGTGTGGAGGGTTTATTTAAAGCAATAAAATATGGGAACTTGCCAATGCACCATACATAAATACTGAATAATTTGTGTGGTAAGGAGCAGGTGGTGCTATGAGGGAGGTCATATTATCAACTATGCTCTTGTATATCTTTTTCATAGCTTGTATACATCTACTCAATATTGTTTGAATTTGATCACAGCAAACAAATACAACTCGTAGAGGAAACATGGCAACAAGCAGGTCCCTTTTCTTATCACAAGTCCCTGAAATATCCATGCCCTGACTAAGAGACAGGTCTCGGCTGAGCACATCCTCTTTGTTTCCAATGAATTCTTGGCTGTAGGTCAGCGGTTGTCAGACAGAAAGTTTCCAGGTGAGAAAACAATCTGGCTTCGCTCTCCAAGCTCTAAAAGGTGAACATCTGGTAGGCAGCGAAGCACTCCATCCATTGTCCATTTTCTCATTCCCCAGCATGAACCACCACCACTGCTTTTGCTGTGTAATTAACCAGTTTGCCAGAAAGGTTCTTCAGAGGAATTATCCAAGCTAATGCAAGTAGACAGGAGGTCATGTCTGCAGTCACCTGTCCTTTTGTCTCTGTGCAGAATGTTGGAGGATGACCTGAAGATCAGCAGTGATGAGGAAGAAGCTGAACAACAGGTGAGCTCTCTCTGCAGCCCACCCATTCATTCATTTGTATATGTATGTCACCGGTCACTCCTTCCTTTTCTCTATCTGTCCTTCAGTGATTCATCATTCATTCATTTGTATATGTATGTCACCAGTCACTCCTTCCTTTTCTTCATCTGTCCTTCAGTGATTCATTCATTCACATACAGTGATTCATTCATTCACATACATTAAACTCATCCAGGCCAGATCATCACTCACCTTCACTGTATAATTCAACTAATTACACCAATGGCCACAACTTAACAACTTCTCTAACTGAATTATGGCCCTTGTCTTACCAGCTAAGATAACATGGTGACATGGTGATAACAAGTTTATGGGGTCATCAGGTGGGCACACTCTCAATAACTTGTGTATCATTGACTTGGGCCCACAACACTGACAAGGTTCAACAGTGTGCCACAGCATCCCACAACTGTAGAATTGTATAGCCTCTGTATTCAGCCTTCATTGTGAGAGTTTTGTTCATAGAAAACTTGTGAAATAGTTGGTGTAGCTATCAGAGGACGGTTAGAGCTGGAAAGATCACATTTCTTTTTCAAACTGTCATAGAAAACCATTGTAAGAGAGAGTGTAACACAACTAAATGTTGATACTGTATGTATGAACGTAACTGTCAATTTTCTTGTAAGGACCAGAGCTGTTGCTACATTAATCAGTAAAAAGATACACCTGTTGGTGTGAGTGCAAGGGTCACTTAAACAATAGTTGTAAATATGAGGAAAGTAGAGCAAGTTATGGCAACGTTTGGGAGGGACACCCAGCACCTGACAGGTATGACACACCTTTCAGCCATAGGTAATTCGGAAGCGATGTACAGACTTTACTAACGAAAAGAATCCGTGGTCAAAACATTGTCAAATCAAATAGCAAGTTACCAAAATATTAAAGAAGTTACAGTAACTAGGTATATAAAGACAGCTAAGTAACAACGTTCTTTAAATCTACTGAGAAAATCAGGCTAAAAATATCAGGTAAATCTTTACACTGTAGTCGTAAAAGACTTAGGACGTTGCAGTATAAGTTGCACTGTATAAATACTGTGGATAAGGGCTCGACTTTTTTATAAGCCCCTTTCAACTAACCGTCAGTTTCAGATCCAGTCTTGTGGGGCTGGGAGTTTACACTAGCAGGGTGAAGTGTATACTTTGTTTGGAACATTCCCATAAACTGAATGTGGTTCCTATCCCCACTGACAAGGTGTCTTTAAGTAATGCAATAGTAATTTTAAAATGTAACCT